TGGCTAATTTTTGTATTTTTAGTAGACACAGGGTTTCACCATGTTGGCCAGGCTGGTCTTGAACTCCTGACCTCAGGTGATCCACCCACCTCAGCCTTCCAAAGTGCTAGGATTACAGGTATGAGTCACCGTGCCCAACTAAATGCATTAATGTTCTTAAAGTTCCAAAAATGGTGCCTGGCCCATTGTAAATACATTATAGAAGTATTTGTTCAATAAAATATAGAGCAGGCAGGGTTGGGTGCAGTTGCTTACACCTGTAATCCCAGCACTTTGGAAAGCAGGCTGGGAAGCTCGCTTGAGCCCAGGAGTTCAGAATAAGACTGGGCAACATAGCAAAACCTCATCTCTACAAAAAGTTGAAAAAAATCAGCCAGGCATGGTGGTGTGTGCCTGTAGTCTGGAGGCTGAGGCAAGAGGATGACTTGAGCCCAGGAGTTAGAGGTTACAGTGAGCTATGATCATCCCACTGCACTCCAGCCTGGGCAACACAAAAGACCCTATCTCTTAATTAATTAAAATACAAAGCAGTAACTAAAAGCAGTGTTGGCTAAAACCAGAGATGTGTGATGCAATGGAAAGGTGTTATATATAATACACCCTAAATAATGAAGTTTTTATTATTTGTATTTCTTTTTTTTAATTGTTTTATTTTTATAAAGTTGTGATAAAATAATTTTAAACATCATTTTAAAAAGATGTTACCTTCTGACCTGAAATCCCATAAATGCCAATCAGTTCTTCAATTCCATCTAGTACAAGTATGCATGGTTTTAAACTGATGGAAGCAATGAACACTTCCACAAGAAGTGAAAAGACCAAGTCATCTGAGTCTTCATTAAGAATATCTGTTTCGAGCCGAGTACCTACAGCACAGAAATTTGTTCAAATTAGGTGGAAATGATTCTGTCATTGCTAAAACATGTTTATGAGCTGGGGAAGCAAAAGAGGTTGGGAAAAATGAGTGCTACTCACAGCTGTACGGCTAACACACATATGTATACATGTGATTACCATCCTCAAGATATTCAACCCAAAAGAGATAATAGTGATGTTTACCACCAGATTGTCTCCCACACATTTTCAGGATTTGATATAAAAATATTTTTGTATGATCCAAAACATTACTCTCATCTTCCAGAATGCAAAAACAGGCCATGTTACAAAGAGTTAGATACGAAGAGAAGTCCTGTGATCTGTGAAGTTTCTGACACTCCTTAACATCGGGTGCGTGCTTAGGGTCACAGCCAGCGCCCTGGGCTCTTCCAGTAATGCTCAAATACAGAAGCTCCCACCCGCTGTCTCCTCTCCTTGGACCTAGCCCATCTTAAACTTAACAGAAACAATCCTAAATTCTACCCACACTATTGGACCCTAGACTTTGGACTCTGGAAAGTATATGATCTTAGGAAGAACTAAGCTATGAACCCCCAAAAGGCAAAGGAAGTCATTAGAGATGTTTGACTTTCAGACTGTGATAAAGTGACCTAGTAGCAGCAACCCCAAGTTGTAATCGACTACCTAATACTCTAAGAACATTTTACTGCAACTTCCGTCTTGCTTTTATTTTTCAAAAGCAATATTTTCTACAGAAATTTAAGCATGTTGAGGTCTGGAAAATCGAGTCACATGTAGAAGCCTTAACGGATTAGGCCTCTCAGATGCATTAAGATTTTGTTAGAATCGTTGAGAGTCATTATGTTTAGCAAATATTTGTCAGTTGCCTATTATGTGACAGTTCCATGCTAGATGCCAAGAGGAGATAAAATGATTCATATATGAAGTCAACCACCTAAAGGAAGTGGAAATTGATTCTGTATACAAATAGCCACATTTCAAGGCAGAATATGAGTCTGAAGGTTACTGAAGCTTGATGTAGAACCATCACAATAAAGAAAAGCTCCGTGTGGAAGACACTTCAAATAAGCCTTTAAGGGTGCACAGGCAGAGACGAGGAGAAGGGCATATCATCAAGACAGTATTGCCAAAGGCTGGGACATAGGAAGGCGCCATGAACACTTGAAAAATAGGACATTGCTTAGAGAGCAGTGGTTCTTAACAGGAGAGGTTCCAGGGTTTTGAGACATCCTACAACACAGGACAGTCATACCCAATGAAGCTTTGTCCCCAGGTCTACCTGATTTTCAGATATTTCGACAATCC